GCGCCCGGCTGCCAGGCACCAGGCACCCGCACAGCAGGGCCACCTCTTAGCCCGGATCCTGGTGCCACTTCCGAGGAGCCGAGCTTGGGTAACAGCTCTGCAGCTGCCCCACTAGAGGGGCGCGATTTGGGGTGGGAAGGGCGGCGTCAGGGTCCAGGGTGCATTTCCCACGGACTTCTGGAGGTGCCAAGGACTAAGGCGAGATGTTTGTCGCTGGCCTTGGCCCTGTCTCATCGGATTGCCCAGAAAGTCCCCTGGGCGCCCCCTCCCAAGGTCCCATTTCCTTGGGTGTGGAGTGTGCGCGCCAGCGCTGTGCCGACTCCCCCCCGTGCACCCGGCCTCCCCTATGGCCGTAGCATCATTCCCGTGGCGCCCATGAGGACACTGGGGCTCAGGGGACCAATGACCAGCAGGCAGCGAGTTTTTGCAAAGCCAGGGCTGGGGCCCACAGCTCTCCTGAAGTTGCTCTTCTGTGGCCGGCACATGCAAGAATGAGCCAGGGACCCCATCAGTAAGTGGAACCACACGTGGGTGTTTCTCTCTCTCCCCCCCCTCTTTAAAATCAATCGGTACGTTTTTTTAAATTGTTCAAAAGACACCTGCTGACGAGGCGGCCTAGCGTTGCCTTGTTCCATCTCGGCTGGGAAAGCACATAGCAGGCAACTCGAAATTCTCTCCGCTCCTCGGATGACCACGACAGGGCTGCAGGGACTGCTCCCGGGGACTGCAAGTAAGTTGTAACAAGGAGGTGAGGTCACAACTAGGGACTCTGCCGATAATGAGGGCCGGCTGGGCGTGCTGCTCACATCGGGGGTGTCGGGACAGGAGCAACCCTAAAATCTCACACTTACGATGCACCAGGCCCTTCGCTTGTGTGAACTGGGTCATCTCAGCGGCCCCCGCGGGGCGGGCACCCTCCTTCGCTCCCCCCGTGCACACGAGGGGAGACGGACGTGAGAAAGGCGAGGGACACCTCGTGTTCCCAGCGACCAGACTCTACCACCGCTCGCGCCCTAAAGCCGGCCCTGGCGTATCACGGGGTCTGCTGCAGAGACCGCATGAATATTCAGTATGAAATGGAGAATTCAAAGGGATATTATGCTTTGCGGTGTGGAGCTGGGTTCTTTGGAGTCGGGGGGCCAGTTGGGAACATTGGGTCTGTTCTGCTCTAAGGGGCGAATGGCTCCGCAGGACTTCCTGTCCCTCTTCCCCCCCTGGGCCGGTCAGGTTCCTCAGCCAGCCTCCCTCCAGGGAGTGCCCCACGTTCCGTTGCATATGGAGGCCGGGGCTCAGTCTTTTCTCTGCCCACACGGGCCCTCTAGTATCAAGCCGACCCCCTTGAGAACCAGTTGGTCGCTGGCGGGAAAGCGGGAGGCATCACCGATGTACCCTGAAAGAAGCTCCGCCTTCCTGTTGACCTGGCACAGGGGTGGGGAGACCTTTTCTGCTGCCAAGGGCCATTGGGATATTTGTAACATAACTCGTGGGCCGTACAAAATCACCAACTCGAACCTGGAGAGGATTACGCTGATCGAAACAAGCCAGTCAGAGAAAGACAAGTGTCCCGTGGCCTCACTCATAGGCGGAATCGAATGAACAGAATAAACGGAGGAGCAAAATCAATCCAGAGACACAGAAGCATGGAACAGACGGAGGGCCTCAGAGGGAAGGGGGGGCTGAGATTAACCGAAGAATTTATATGCATCTGTGCATAACCCATGGACACAGACAATAGTGTGGTGAAGGCCTGGGGAAGGGGGTGGGTACACGGGGTAGAAGGGATCCATGGGGGGGAAAAGGGGGACATCTGTAATACTTCCAATAAAGATAAATTTAAAAATTAATAATAAATTTTAAAAATTAGCTAGGAAAAAGGCTCCTAGACTTATTAAATTTCGAGTCCCGCCTGCAGTTGCCTTGACAGGGCCATACCGTATGATTTCGAGGGCCGGATATGGCCCGAGGGCCGGATATGGCCCCTGCCCTGGTCCCAGCAGGTCCTCCAGTCCTACCTGTGGGGCTAAAAGACGACGACAGGGAGCCACAGGGTGTGAACAAAACCGGGGCCTGGGAAGAATACACCTGCCAGTGCCTCTGACCTCGTCTCACTCTGCCCTTGACAAGACCCTGGTCTTCTCGAGACAGAAGGTGCGTGCAAAGAACACGGAGGCTACAGTCAGGAAACCCGCCACCGGTCCAGGCCCGGCCACAGACTGGGGGATGCTGGGCCAGTCCCTTCCCTTCTCTGACCATCGACTTTCTCCATTATATTATGAAAAGTATAAAATTAGAAAGTTCCAGGAGGCCCCTCCCAGGTAGCTTCTGACACTGTTTTTACACTCTGCCCGTGTGACATAGCAACACCTCCCTAATCTAGACCACGACGCTCGCAGTCTCTCCCCGGCGTCCCCGCCAACAGGACCGAAAGGGCCTCTCCGAGCATCCCGCCCACGTCCGGTTTCAGCCCTACTGCGTGCAGAAGCAAACGCCGAGGTCTCGCTCTCGAGACTACGGGTTCGTCCTTGGCACATGGTTCTAACTTGTTTGCTCCTCTGATTTTCAGGTGTCAAGAGGACACAAATCAGAGACAGAATGCCCTCGGAGAAGAGACGAAGGACCCGTTCTGCGCGCACGTCGTCGGGGAGAGCTGGGCGCAGAGGCGTTTTCCCCGGTGCCGCCTGCGTGTCACTCACCCTGCACCGCAAAAAACGAGACCCGCCTGTTTAGTCTGCCTTCCTTGCACGCTCCCCAGCTCTCTCCGCTGGGCAGTATTTGGGTTGGAAAC